CGGCTCGTGATGCCACGGAGAGGCCTCGAGATTGTCCCGGTGGCCCCATGGTTGCCAAGCGATTGCGAGGGCATTCCGGAGGTCGTTATCGGCGCCATCGACCGTGATATGTCCCGATCCACAGCCCTCATGCACCAAACGCACGGATGCAGTCATAAAACGCAGGCCTTCTCTCCCAAATTCTTGAGCAATAGCCGCAAACAACGCTTTTTGGCAGGCTCATCGCGACACGCACACATGCCGACTCCCCAGCTTGCCAGCTCACCACCTCGCCTTCCCTGCCGCTCCCCTGGCCCAGGCCCATCGATAGCAAGCCCGAGCTGTCCCAAACCGCACTTATCTCGGGTCTCCAAGCTCACACCGGCTCGTGATGCCACGGAGAGGCCTCGAGATTGTCCCGGTGGCCCCATGCCAAGCGATTGCGAGGGCATTCCGGAGGTCGTTATCGGCGCCATCGACCGTGATATGTCCCGATCCACAGCCCTCATGCACCAAACGCACGGATGCAGTCATAAAACGCAGGCCTTCTCTCCCAAATTCTTGAGCAATAGCCGCAAACAACGCTTTTTGGCAGGCTCATCGCGACACGCACACATGCCGACTCCCCAGCCTGCCAGCTCACCACCTACCTCGTTCACAAGCCGAACTCTGCCGAGGTCGCCGATTCGTTTCGCGAGTTCCACCACAACAACGAGCATCGGCTTCGAAATGGAAAGGTCTATGCCTTCCTTGACGACAACGGGCTCGAGTACCATGGCGATGCCATCGACGGACCAGATGGAATCGTGCGGCAACTCATCGTCAAGCGCCAATTTGGCATTGCTAACGAAGACAACACCAACCCCATCGCCGAGCGATGCCACGGAGTCTTCCAGCACGCTGTGTGCGCGTGCCTTGCCTATGCCGACGATGCGCCCCAGTGCCTGTGGCCGTGGGCTATGCGACAGAGCGAGCTCGTCTTCCGACACCTCGCTACCACGTCGCATTCCCCCCCAATCTCGCCACGTGACTTTGCAAATCCAAATCTCGAGCCAGCCGAGCTTGGATGGGCGCGAGTTCTATTTTGCAACGTCACTGTTTTCATCCCGCTGCGAGACAAGGATAACAAGATCAGCCACACCCAGGCCGATGCTTGCCACCTTGGATACGACGAGAATCGCCGCTGCCACTTCGCCTATGTTCCGTCGCTGCGTCGCGTCGGCAGCTACCGCGTCACGTCGTGGTGCGGAGAAAACAAGTTCACCATCGCGAAGACCATCTCATGTGACACGCCAATCACATACATGCAGAGTGACTTCCCCTTTGGCCGCGCCACCGGTGCCTTCCTGCCCAAGCACTTTGTTGCGCGTCGCCCGCCCGCCCGCCCAGCTGGCCTGCCAGACCAGGGGGGAGCAGCAAACGCAGATGGTCCGACAGCCAGCGACGGCACCGTAGCCCTTGTACGGCGTTATGCCGCCGTCGGCTGCGCCGCATTTGCCAGTGGGCAACAGACTATTGCCCGCCTCGCAACTGACCGGCTTGCAGAGATAGCCTACTCGGCCTTCATCGACGACGACAACACCGAGGTCGCATGCGTCTGGAACGACACAGGCTGCAAGCCGCCGCCAATCGAGATAGCGCTTGCAATCCAGTCCGTCGCTTCACAGACTATGCCAGACATCAAAACAGTCGAACAGGCTCGCCAGTCTATTTACTGGCCTCTCATCAAACGTGCCATGGAGGATGAGATTCACGGAAAGTACGTCGTCAACCGAGCGTGGGACGTTGTCCGACAGGAGCCGTGGATGCACGTCATTGGAGTTAAGTGGGTCTTTACCTTTGTCTTCAATGACGACGGCAGCATCGCCAAGGTCAAGGCTCGTCTCGTTGGGAAAGGCTTTGGACAACGTGAAGGCAAGGAGTACCACGAGTGTTTTGCGCGCACTCTGAGCGCAACAGCCTTCCGCCTATGGTGTGCCATAGTCGCTGACGAAGACCTCGAGACTGACACTGCCGACGGCGTCAAGGCGTTTACTCAGGCTGACGTCGATGCCGAGATCTACACCCAGATGCCACCCGGGTTCGTCAAGAAGGGCTTTGTGCTCATGCTTCTCAAGGCGCTCGAGGGCATCAAACAGGGCTCCTACCTTTGGTTCAAACTCAACCAGGACGCCCTCGTCAAGCTTGGCTGCGTCGCCTCGCTCACCGAGCCAAACTTCTACAGCCACCCAGCCTTTCGCCTAATCATCGTTGTTTTTGCAGACGACGTCGCAAACGGCTTTGCCGCTTCCGCCACCGACCAATACGTCCGGTTCAAAGAGGAATATGGAACGTACATCAAGATTGCGACGCTCGATATCGTCCCCATCTCCGTCTTCACCGGAATCGAGGTACTCCGCGACCGAGCCAACCGCACGCTCACTATTCGGCAGACCCGGTACATCGAGCGGATTGCCGCCCTCTACGGCAACGAGATTGGCGCTCGTGCCCAGTCCACCCCAGCCGGCTCGACCGACGTCCAGCGCGCCCTCTTCGATAAGCTCGAGCCTGCTGCCGAGTGCGACCGCATCCCCGTCACCGAGTTCCTGAAGCCGCTAGGAACCATCGGGTGGCCTGCCGAGATGACGCGCCCCGACATCAAGTACTTCTTCTCGAAGCTCGGCTCTTTCTCTCAGGCTTGCGGCGCCGTCCATCGTGACGCCATCATGACCGTCATCAACTATCTCAACGCCACAAAGCACCTCGGCATCACCTACGGCGGAAAGCTCAAGATCCCCTACGGACTCGACACTTTCCCGCCAGGCTTCATCGAGTCTCGTGGCCTCCACGCCTACCATGACGCCTCCTTCGGCAAGGCGCCACACTACGGCGGATGCGTCGTGATGTTCAACAACGGCGCCATCGACTGGAGCGCCAACAAGTCCAAGATCGAGGCTCTCAGCGTCGCCGAAGAGGAGACCGCCACCGCCTCCGTCGCCGCCAAGAAAGTCGTCTCCTGCCGGCTCATGCTCGAGCATGCTGGCCGAGCTGTCGCAGGCCCCACGCCCCAGCTCGGTGACTGCAAAGCCGTCTTTGACATCATCGTCAAGCCCGGCTCTACTGCTCGCACGCGCTACTACGAACGTGCCACCATGTTTGTCAAGCGCCTTTTCATGCTCCGCCATGTCGCGCCGTACCTCGTCGGCACTGCTTATATGATCGCCGACGTCTTCACCAAGACGCAGGCGACACGAGCTATGTTCTTCACCTGTCGCGACTACATGCTCAACGCCAGCAACGGCCCCGGCTTTGCTGTGACGCTCCAGGGGCAGGCTGCCCGGCTGTGGAGCAAGCTCGTCGCGACCGTCGGCAAGGCGTGAGACATCACCGCCTTCGCCGAAGACGCGCGAGTCGTCCGAGATAGTTGCCGATGCAACTAGGGGGGAGCGTTAGAGACGACTCTCTCTCTCCCAACTGTGAACAGTCGTTATCTGTATATGCGCAGCTATTCATAGCCGCGCCTGTTGTTTGTTTGTGTGTGTATCCGCGCTCTTGGCGCGATTACGAGAGTGACTAGTGTGTCGCACTAGTTGTACTTTTCGTAATAGTATTCCGCATTCATTGCGAGGGCGGACCACTCCTAGCGTGCAGACCGCGGGAGCTGGTGCCGCGGCCAGTGGAGACCTGGCCTGCGCTGTGACGCGCGCGCTCATCTTCAACGGAGACGACACCGCAATCACCCACCGTTGCGGTGTCGGTGCCAGCGCCAAGCCACGCGGATCGACAGCGTCATTCTAGATCGCATCGAGCATCACCTCCATCATCAGCGCCGGGCTCTCCTGCAGTGGCAGCAGCGTCGGCTTGGCCTCTGTGCGGATCCGCCGGAAGTTGCGCGCCACGAAGCGCAGGGCCGACTCACGCAGGTCGTCGAGCTTGTACTGGTCGGCCTGGATGAACCACATGACCGCGTTCTGCACGGTGAGGTCGCGATGGCAGCGCCGCACCGTGTGGTTGTACACGCGGTCAAGCTGACACTCCCTTGCCTTCCGCATCACGTCGACCATGTTCTTGTCGGTGTAGATGTACGCCAGCAGCTCCTTGAACGCCGATGAGCTCATGCCGCCGATCGGCACCTCGGAGCTGGGCTGGGCCTCTCTGAAGCTGGCGGAGAGCATGGTCCGGAAGTACTCGCTTCGCGCAGCCAGCAGCGCGCGGTGCGCGGTCACCTTCTCGCCCTCCACCACAAACGTGATGTCAGCAAAGGAGCTGTCGTCGAGCAGCGCTCGCATCTCGTCGCGGTAGGCCGACGGCAGCGTGGGCGGCAACTTGCCTCGCGTAGGAGGCGGCAGCAGGGCGGCAATCGAACGGATGCGACCATTGTTCTTGTCAGACACGAGGACGTTGCCCTCGGCGTCGACGGCCAACTTGCTAGGGGTGCCGCAATGCCCTGCCCTTCGATGCTGCCTGCGTTGCCGCTGCCCGCGAGCGTGGTCACCGTGCCGTCGGGTGCAATCTTGCGAATCCGGTGGTTGCTCTGGTCCGCCACGTAGACGCAGCCATCGCCGTCCACCGCCGCACCTGTAGGGGTGTGGAAGTGCGCCGCGATGCCCTGGCCGTCGGCAAAGGTTGCGCTGCCGCTGCCCGCGAGCGTGGTCACGGTGCCGTCGGGTGCAATCTTGCGAATCCGGTGGTTGCTCTGGTCCGCCACATAGACGCAGCCATCGCCATCCACCGCCACACCTGCAGGGTGGTGGAAGTGCGCCGCGATGCCCTGGCCGTCGGCAAAAGCTGCGTTGCCGCTGCCCGCGAGCGTGGTCACGGTGCCGTCGGGTGCAATCTTGCGAATCCGGTGGTTGCTCTGGTCCGCCACGTAGACGAAGCCATACATGTCCAACATGTCCACCGCCACGTCCTCAGGGTTGTGGAAGTGCGCCGCGGCGCCCTGGCCGTCGGCAAAGGTTGCGCTGCCGCTGCCCGCGAGCGTGGTCACCGTGCCGTCGGGTGCAACCTTCATGATGCGATGCTGGCTGCACACCACCTTGCACCCGTCGTCGAGCGCATCGATGCCTGTGGGCCCAGCGCACGCGATCAACGTGCTGACCTGCATGCTGCGGCTGGTGTGGGCGGCGGGCGCGTCAACAATGGCGCGCCACTCGGGTCGACAACAAAGAATTTTTTTGTTTTACACACCCTTTTATAATACACCTTGTCAGGAGCAGGAGAACTAGGAGAGCGCAACCAGTAGGAGGCCCGCGCCTGCCCCCGTGCCGCCGGGTGCAACCTGTCCTATACGAGAGAGGAATCCCTGGGACCCTGTCGTGTGGGTGAACCCTGCCCAGCCCCCCTCCGTGTCGCGATGCGCTCCCCGCTCCCGTTCCCCTGTGTCCCTGATCGTCCTTACAAGATCCTGCTCGCGCAGGTGGGGACCCTGTCCTTCTCCCACCCCTCGTTTGGCGTGCCCGTTTTATTTATTTATTTAGTTGTTGTTTATTTATTATAATACACAGGCATCATCCGTAGAGGCACGAGTGTTCGAAGAGAGAGTGGACCTGAGCAACAACATGACCTGTAGGCAAATGATCGGAGTGGGAGTCAGAAATGTGGTCCTTGCGCGAGGGGAGCTCGATAGACTCGAGGGGCCAGGATACGCCGCGAGGAGGACGGAGTTGCGCCGAAAAGGCGAAAGAAGCCGCGAGAACAAGGGACCGGCAGGCGGTGGCGTCACAGGACGAGGCAGAAGAGAACGACGCGACAGAGGAGGAAATGACAAGGGAGAGAACGACGAGAGTGGGACGACCGCGAGGTGGCATGAAGGTTGCAGCGAGAAGCGGCGAGAGACTGCGAAGAGAGATAGGAAGAGGCAGACTCCCTAGGGTGGGCGACGGCTAGCGCACCACACACCTCTCCTTAAAATCCCTGTGTGGTGGCGGCGTGCCGTCCTCCCATCCCTCCCTTGGGTTGTGTTTTTGCTTTCTTTCTTTTATAATACACAGCCTCGGCACATGGGCAGTCAAGAGGAAGCATGCACCTTCTCAGGACAGCGCCATCTCTCTCGTGAGTGAGTGAGTACACACACACACACACACACACACACACACACACACACACACACACATCTCTCTCGTGGACCGGCAAACTGGGTGGTCTCGTGTCACGAGTCACCAATTGTGGGACCAGTGCGGCATAGAGCATATGACGTTCCCCGACGAATGGGGCGGTGGCGGTGGCGACGGCGGCCCGACCGAGTCGACGTCCCGCTCTCGATGCAGAGCAACGAGGCGCTCCTCATCAAGACGCTGCTGGCGCGGAGCTGCCCGAGCGCAAGGCTGAGCCGCGTGCAGCGCGTGCAGAACAAGAAGCTGTGGCGCGCCCATTGCCGCGACGAGCTCGTCCACACCTGCGCCGGCGGTTAACGAGATGCTCCTCTTGGCACGGCGGAGCGGGCGGTGGCGGATGTGCTCGCGCATCAGAACGGGCTCGACCCGCGCTTCTCCAAGGGCGGCTTTTACGGCCAGGGCATCTACCTCGCGGAGGACCCGTCCTACCCGATCGGCGGCCGGTATGCGCACCGCGTCTCCGCGGCTCGGGCGGGAGCCGCGTGCAGCTGCTCATCGTGAAGGCCGCCCTCGGCTCGCGGAGACGAGGGCGATGCGCATGCGGACGTGCGCATCGAGGGCCCTCCCCGACTCCTCTACGACAGCGTGCGCGGCGGGCCGCACCGCCCCTTCGTCTCCGGCGGAGGCGAGAACGGGTGCGACGCGTCCATCGTGCACGTCGTGTACGAGTCGCGCCAGATGTACCCGGCGTACGTGATCGAGGTCGAGATGGAGATGGGAGCCGAGGTGGTGGCGGCCGTGCACAAGAACTCGACCGAGGGGAGTGCGAGCGCTGGCCCGGCACCCAAGCGGCAGCGCCACGCTGCGCCGAGCGGCGGCGGCGGCGGCGGCTCCAGCGGCGGCGGCTCCAGCCATTCTGCTGCTGATGTCCCCGCTGCTGCGCCACCGAGCGATGCGGAGGTGCGGGCGATGGGCGTGGCGGCGGCGGTGGCGGCGCTGCGGGCGCACGCGTCGGTCAGTCGCGTCGCGCTTGTGGCTTGCGGGCGGTTGGCTGAGCTGTGCTTAGAGGCGCAGAACAGGCAACCTGCGGCGGATACGGGCGCGATGTGACAAGACTTGTCTACTGGCTGGAGCCGAGCAGGAGGGCCCGGCGCACAACCCCTGGTCAACTCACCCTCCACACCCCGTACTCCGAGTCCAACTCGTCGCCACGGGCGGAGACCGAGAGCAGACCTCTCTTTCTCAGACACGAGCGAGACAGCTCATCACAGAGACGATCAAACATCAATATATCTAGAAAGAGAAAACACAAAGCGTAGAGTGTCGCTCACGCCAGTCGCACGAGCACGACTCTCTCTGGTTTGATTCTCTCTGTGGCATGTGCCGATTTGGTGCTCGGGGAGCCGCGCACGCTTCAAGTCCAAGTGGGGGCACGCCGGGCACACGAACATGCACACGATCTCTCTCGCTCTCGCTCTCTCGCGCTCCCTCCCCCCCCCCCCTCTCTCAATTCTGGTGAGGCCCTCCCCGTTCTCGCTCGCCCGCCGCAGCATCGCCTGCGCGGCAAGCGAGCCCCACCCCCTCCTCCCCTTCTCTCCCGGGGCGGGCTCTACACACACAGTCTCCGGGCCCGAGGGCCGGCGGCGACCGGGGCGACCGCTGCGGACTCAGCTCCTTCGTCGCTCGGCGCGAGGCAGCGTGGAGGGGCCGGCTCGATGCCGCGAGTCCTCGCGCGCCGCCTGCAGCGCCGCGTCCAGCGTCCTCGGCACCTCGGCGCTGTCTCTCGACGGGCGGGCGGAGGCGGCGTCGCCGAGGATCGACGCGCCGCTGCTGCTGCCGCCGCCCTGCGGCGGGGTGGCTCCGCCCCCCCCGGCGGCCGGCTCGTCGGGCTGGCCGAAGAGGACCTCGCGGAGGGTGTCGTCCTGGCGAGAGGGAGGGCAGGGGGCGGGTGGAAGAGCAGTTGCGAGGATGGCGAGTTGTGTGGGTGGGCAGGAGGGTGCAAGTGCGCTTGCTGCAGGTTGCGGCGCGGTGTGAGTGGTGGTGACGAAAGTGGCGGCGGTGGCGGTGATGGCCCCCCTTGGAGAGGGGAGAAGGGGGCGGGGAGAGAGACCTGCTCCTCAAAGGCCCACGCGGCGCCGTGCCCGAGCGGGAGGGCGCTGGGCAGTCCGAGGTCGAACTGGGACGCGCTCTGCCGGCAGCCCGAGAAGAGACACTGGCAGAGGCACTGCCGCAGCACGAGCTCGCGAGAGAGGGCCTCGTTGCTGCGGAGCTCGGCGGGGGCGACGCCGACGAGGTGGTGCACCGCGGAGCGGACCCGGACGGGGCAGGCGGGGAAGAGGCGCTCGAGCGCCACCGGGTGCGCGGCGAGCAGCGCCAGCGGCGCGTGCAGCGTCAGCCAGCGGGCCTGGTCCCACGAGTACTCAAACTCGCCCGCCCCCTCCTCGTGCCGCGACGAGCCGCCCGCCTCGAGCGGCGTCGTCGTCGCGCGCGCGAGCCCCATCGAGCGGCGTTTGACCGACCGGTGCGACTTTGGCGCGACGCGCGGCGCCGGGTCCGGCTCGGGGTCGCAATGAGTGCGCCGAAACCACCGCTCATCGTACCGGCCGGGAAGCCCGCCGCGCCGCGCGTCGTCGGCAGGCAGCTGCACGATCGCCCAGAGCTCGTCCATCGCCAAGCGCTGCTCGTCTCGCAGAGCGACGCCCACCGCGCCGCCGAAGTCGGCCTGGGGACGGGGGGCCGCGCGCGGACCCGTCACGGACGTGTCGCGTCGCGGACGTGTCACGGACGTGTCGCGGTGCCGTGTCGCGGACGTGTCGCGGTGCCGTGTCGCGGACGTGTCGCGGACGTGTCGCGGACGTGTCACGGACGCGTCGCGGACGTGTCGCGGACGTGTCATGGACGTGTCGCGGGTCTGTCTGCGAGTCTCTGCGAGTCTCGTCGAATTGCGCGCGCCAGAGCGTCGAGCAGCTCGCGCGGCACGCGGCAGCTCAGCCCGAGGCGCGACGAGAGCGCGACCAGAGGGACTGAGAAGGACTGCGCCAACTCATACACGCGCCTCGCGCTCGCCGCCTCCGCCGCGTCTATGTCGTCGTGCACGCCCGCCGTGCCGGGCGCCCACTCCACCCTCCTGTAGTGCGGGTGGTGCTCGGCGGTGGCGGCCGCGTCGCTGGGCGGCAGCTGCGCCGGCGGCCGGCCGGCGGCGGAGTAGCTGGGCGGGATCACGTGCGATGTGATGGCGTCGGGACGCAACAAGGACGGCGCCGAGGCGGACCGCAGTATCGACCGCTGCGGCGGCGGGCTGGCGAGTCGCTCGTGATGCGGCGAGCTCGGCGACGAGCCTATAGGGAGGCTGCCGGGAAGGGTCAGGGAAGGCCCCTCCCGCGGGCTGCGGCCAGTCAGGTACGTGCCGGTGATGGCGGACACGTCGGGCGCAAAAGTGGCCAGCTGCGCCGCTGCGGAAGGGGAGGAGGAGCGACGGCGTGCCTGCGCGGTGTGGCTCCCATGCACGCTCTGACTCTCCGCCGCCGCCAGCTCGGCGTTCGCGCGCGCCGCCGCCTGCGACGCCGCCGCCTCCGCGAGGAGGACGAGGCGCGCCTGCGGGAAGGGTCCGAGATGGGTCGGGCGAGGGTCCAGGAAACGCGCCTCTGTGCGCCGAGGACGTGGCGCGCCGACACGACGCCGGCGCCGGCGCCGCGGCCCGTGGTGTCGGCCATGTGCACGATGCGCGAGGTCCGCTCGCGGAAGAGAGTGGTGTGCCGCTCGGCGAACTGGGCCACCGACGCGAGCGACGCGACGGAGACGAGAGTGATGCCCGCCGGAGGGGCGGTGTGGTACAGCCGGAGCAGCACCTTCCCCACCGGCTCGAGCGACTCCTCCTCGGCCGCCTCGGGCGCCGCCGCGCTGCCGCCGTCGCCCGCCCCACGCGCCGGTAGAGCCGCGTCGAGCGACGCCGACGTCGCCACGCCGCGCGCTGTCGCGGCTAGCATCCGCCACCGCTCCGACCGCAGCGGCGTCGAGGAGGAGCGAGAGCGCGAGAAACCGCGCGGCGAACGGCCCGCGGCGGCGTCGACCGGCCGGACGGGCACATGCGACAGTCCGAGCGCAGAGAGGATCTGGCGCAGTCGCGAGGCGAAGCCGTGGACCGCTGCCGCCTCCGTCGCGGTGGTTACCTTGTTGACGAGAGGAGCGCCGAGGTGTCGCCGAGTGTCGAGGTGTGTCCGAGGTGTGTCCGAGGTGTGCCCGAGGTGTTGTCTGTCACTATCACCGTTACTAGTGGTAGTGGTAGTCACTACCGCTACCGCTGCTGCTGTTGCCATCACTATGACACATCACTATGACACGTCACTATGACGCACCTCGACGAGGATGCCGTTGCACGCCATCACGCCGAGGCCCCACAGAGAGCGCAGCATGGCGCAGCAGAGCTTGAGGTCGATCAGCGCGTGGTCCGAGCGCGGCCGCGTCAGCAGGATCACGTGCGTCACTCGCGAGAGGGAGAGGCGGAGCGATCGCATCTGGCAGGCGATCCCGTCTGCGAAGCCGCCTCGCATCTCCTGCACGAGGGCGGGCGGCTCGACGACGCCGTTCTCCTACAGGACGGCGCAGAGAAGCTTCCAGGGAGGGTCCGGGGGCCGGGCAGCGTCGCCGACGCCGCTCTCCTCGTCCGAGGTCCCGATGACGAGGTGGCACGTGCCGTGCTCCCCCCGCACCGACACCGGGCGGAAGAAGCGCCGGCGGAACGCAGGGATCGACGCGAGCAGCGCGACCGTGTCGTACTGGAAGAAGCCGTCGACCTAATTTATATAAAATTCTTATTGAACTATAAATAATTATAAATGTGTCGTACTGGAAGAAGCCGTCGACCAAGTCCCAGATCGCGTCGTCCGCCTTGCGCGCCGCGCCGCGCCGCGCCCCCTTTGCGTCGCAAAACTGCGCGAGGAACCACTCCCGCGTGCAGCGCGCCGGCAGCCCCTGCCTGCCCTCGTCGTCGGTGGCGTTCGCGCGTGCCCAGAGTAGCTCGAGCTTGGTGCGCTGCTCGTTGCGCAGCCGCCAGCCGATGCAGGAGCCCGCGCTCGCGATCTCGTCGTAGATTGAGCGGTCCACCTGCGGCGGGCAGCCGCTCGGAGCCGACTCCTCGTCGCGACCTCGGCACGGGCAGGGAGCGGGGCGGGCAGGGAGCGGGGGTGTCGCCTTGGCCGCGTAGGCGGCGTAGCGAGTGAGCACGACCAGCCGCACGCCGAGCTCCTGGCAACGCCGGTAGAGGAACCTGGCCGCCGCCATGTCGAACGCATTGTTGGCCGCCGAGTCGGGCTCCATCATGTGCAGCGCCCCCTCGGCCTCGTCCACCGCCGCCGCCCGCCTTCCTCCTCCTCGGCAGTACCAGGCCGACCCCTCGCAGTTGCTGCTCACCGTGGCGAAGAAGGCGCTGCCCTGACCTCCGTCGGGCGGCGGTGGCGCGCCGAGGCGAGGGCCGTCCAGCCACTCGCCTGGCTTGCAGCCGCCCATGATGACGACCTGAGATATGGGGAGATGTGGGGAGATGTGGGGAGATGTGGGGAGACGTGGGGAGACGTGGCTTGCAGCCGCCGATGCTGTCGCCCTGAGCAGTTGCGTGTGGTGGCGGCCCCGGAAGGTTTGGGGGGGGACGTCTCCGGCGGGGGGGAGGGTCTGGGGATGGCAGTGGTGTGTGGGTGGTGTGTGGGTGGGTGGTGTGGGTGGTTTGGGTGTGTGGGCGGTGGTGGGGGTGGAGGTGCCTGGCTCCAGCGCAAGCGCCGCCTCGGAGTAGATTGGCGGCAAATACGACGAGTAGAACGAGTCCGTCTCGTGGCTCGAGCAGCCGCCTACCCCACAGACACCACTCCCACCGTCAACCACGCGCCGACGGGACGCGGGGGTGCTGCAACCCGCTGCTGCTTCGGGGCTGGCGGCGCGACCTCACCGTCCGATCCGACTCCGACGGGGACATCGTGCATGCCGAGCATGTCGAGCGTGCCGCGGATGAGGCGCGCGCGCTCGTACGCGGGCGCGAGGGTGGCGACGATCCCTCGCAGGTCCACCTGTTCGCGCGCGCAAGGGGTGAGGCGACGCGCCACACGTGGGAGAGGGGTGGGGCCTGCCGCTGTTTGGCCAGTCCGCGCGAGATCAAGTGGCGCATCATCACGATCGCCATCTCGTCGTCCAAGTCCTGAAGGGAGGGAGCCTGGCGGTGTGTGGCCAGGGGAAGAGAGGAGGGAGCGAGCAGAGAGGGGGGTGGCTCGACGCCACGGCAGAGAGGTGGTGGCCGACAGCGGCGCCGATGCTGCTGCCGCCGCCAAGTGGCTGCATCCAACGGGCACTCGCGAGGGCAGGGCCGCGCTGGCGGGCAACGCTCCTGGCCAGCGTCGGACACCACGACGAGCGGAACACTGCCAGAGCTTGCAGAGGAGCGCCTGGCGCTCCTCGTGCGTGAGCCGCGCCGCAGGCCGTCGCTGTGCAGTTGCGGGAGAGCAGCGAATTCCACCGCTGGCGTCACAGGCCGATGCTGTGTCTCTGCGGCCGCCACCCTCGTCGCAGGCTCTGCTCGACCTGAAACTGCGCGCACTGGCGGCTGGCTGCTGCAGCGCCGCCGCCGCAACCGCATGATTAGCACTGCGACTGCGGCGGCTGCGATACCTATGAGGCCTGCCCGCATCGGGCACAACACGTGCGCTCACGGTGCCGATTGCTGTTGGGGAGGTGGTTCGTCGTTCACTTTGCCCGATTGGCGTCGCCCAGGCTGCGCGACTGCCGAAGGGCAAGGCCTGCCGAAGGACTGCCAAAGCCTGGGTCGCAAAAGAATTCCGCCGGCACAAAGCTCCCTCGCAGCTCGCACAACACTGAGCTCGGGATGTGGCAGCCGAGTACTTGTTTTTCTTGCATTTTTGCTCCCTGGCTAAGGGAGCAAGCAAGCCCACTCAACCCCAAGTACTCACCGTTTTACAGTGGTGTTTTTGTCGCATCGGCTGCAGCCTCTGCTGGGGCGGAACGCGCGGGGTTTTCGGCGCGATGCCCTCGGGAGTACACGCTACAGCACCGCCGCAAGCTCAGCCCGCGTCGAATTTACTTTGGAAGCACAAAAGAATTTTACGCTCACACTCATCAGCCGCGAACCCACCCGCCGGCGGGACCATAGATGGGCCCAGGTAGGAGGCTCCACGCCACCTGAATCGCGTCGTGCCACCTGAAAGCCACAAAATGCCGGATTTTGCACGAGACACACGCGGAAAGCGCCACGTGCCTCCACGAGTCCTTTGCAGCTTTTTGCACAAAATGCAGGTAGGTGGCTTTAGCCACTTGCTCCATGAGCAAAACAGTGCAAAAAGCACCTGGAGCAGATGGCTTACGCCGCCTGTGGACATGGGCAAAACAGTGCAAAAAGCACCTGGAGCAGATGGCTTACGCCGCCTGTGGCCATGGGCAAACAGTGCAAAAAGCACCTGGAGTAGATTCCAAACGCCGCCTGTGGCCATGTGACCGCTCGGGTGGCGCCAGGTGGCTTCGCCCCCCTCCAAGCCACCTGCCCCCCTCGCCACACCTGCCTGGAGGGCTGGAGCACGTGCGCCACCTGGGCCCGGGCAGGTGGCTCCAGGTGGCTTCGGCCCCTCTAAGCCACCTGCATGCCCCCCCTCGCCACACCTGGAGGGCTGGAGCACGTGCGCCACCTGGGCGTCACTTCGGGAATTTCATCATGCGTGTTCTTTTGAATAGGAATGTACTATACACCGCCTCGGCACCACGATCCGCCCCCGCCGCGCCTCCACAATCCACTCTCGCAACTCTACCGCGCAGCCAGCACACGACGTCGGCGAGGCCGACAAAGCTCTGCATGGCCTGGTTTATCGGGGATCGAGTGATGGCGTATTATCGGGCAGTCTTCTCATTGGCGAGTCAGACTGCTCAGCGTCGGCAGCAACGGCGCGTGAGCAGCGCAGCCACCGGCTCCTGCGGCGTTTGCAGCCACACCAAACGCCCGCGCGGGCCGGGTTGAAGCCCCAGGCTTATGTCGACGCCGGACATTGATTGTAGCCGCCGATGACCGCCGCAGGCCCTCTTTCACACACCCCACAGTCCCAGTTTGCAGCGCGGGGAGGAGCGGGGAGGCTCGCGTTTGGCAGGCCACGCAGCCCTTCCGTGGCTCGGATTTTCCGTTTCCGAATTCAAACTTGCGCCAGGTGGCGCACGTGCTCCGGCCCTCCAGGTGTGGCGAGGGGGGGCATGCAGGTGGCTTGGAGGGGCCGAAGCCACCTGGCGCCACCTGCCCACCCATCAGGCCCAGGTGGCGCACGTGCTCCAGCCCTCCACGTGTGGCGAGGGGGGCGGGGCAGGTGGCTTGGAGGGGCCGAAGCCACCTGGAGCCACCTGCCCAGGCCCAGGTGGCGCACGTGCTCCAGCCCTCCTCGTGTGGCGAGGGAGGGGGGGCAGGTGGCTTGGAGGGGGCTGAAGCCACCTGTTGCCACCTGCCCAGGCCCAGGTGGCGCACGTGCTCCAGCCCTCCACGTGTGGCGAGGGGGGCGGGGCAGGTGGCTTGGAGGGGGCCGAAGCCCTTGGCGCCACCCGAGCGCATCACATGGCCACAGGCGGCGTTTGGAATCTACTCCAGGTGCTTTTTGCACTGTTTTGCCCATGGCCACAGGCGGCGTAAGCCGTCTGCTCCAGGTGCTTTTTGCACTGTTTTGCCCAGGTGTGGACCCTCAGGGGCGGCTCCTCGACCCAGCGGTCGCTCCAGCGGCGGGGGCGGAGGCGGTGGTGGTGGGGGCGGGCCTGGTGGCGGTGCCGGCCGCCGCAACTCCTGGGGTGGGGCCCCGGGGGATGCCCCCTGCCCCTGCGGCCGTTCCAGCCGTGGTTCCACGCGTCGGCCGTCCACCCCGCTCGTGGGGGGGGGCCTAGCTCTCGTCTCCCCTCGGGAGGGGGGGGGGCAGGGCCCGGATTCGCCGACGGCCCCGCTTCTCCCCCCTCCCGCCCCGCATCAGGCCGCAGACTGCGCAGTAGTCGCGTCGCCTCCCCCCTCGCTCGGTCCCTCTCAATTCGGTCCCACACTGACCGGATATCAAAGGCCGAGTTGTGTTCGGACAGCGGGCCCGCCGATGCCACACGCCTCTTCACACAGCAGGCGTACGCCTTCAGCGCCTGCCCCCCCGACAACGTCGGTCCCGGTGCAATGTCGTTGACGAGGTAGTCCTCCCCCTCCCACCGGAAAACCTGCCCAAGAAGGTCCGTCGAGCCAACCAGTCGTCTTGCCAGGCTCCGCACTTCCCGCGGCTGCACCGGCCTGAGAACGCCAGTGCTGGCCGCGAGCGACAGACCTATCGCCCTAAGCTCCGCCAGGACCGCCTTCTCGCCCGCCGCCGCGGCCGCCCGATCCTTCTCAGCCTCCCGAATTGCCTCCTCCCGTCTCCTTGCTCTGTCTGCCGCCGGCACGAACCTCATCGGGCTGCCCCGTTCCCTTCCTGGCAAGATCCGCGTCGGGGCCGGCCGATCCACCGGTGCCGCCCCGGCTCGGGGTGCGCTCGCCCGTTGCGACGGCTGCCCCCCCCTCGCCGCCCCCCACCATCCTTGTCTCCTCTTCTCACGGACCACGGGGGCTGCACAACAAAAGCACACAAACACCCCCTGCCCCTGCATGGCGTGGCACAGGCGCGTCCTCATCCCCTCCTCCGCTTCCCCTTCCACCCGTTCAGAAATCGGGAGTTTTGTTGTAAAACTCTAAAACATTTCGGCGCCATCCGACCCTGCCTGCGCAACTCCGCGGTGTATGTTGGCAGCTTTCGCCGTCGCCCTGGCGGCGCCCCTGGCCGCGCCCGCACCCGCCAACGTGCGCGAAGCAGCGCATAACACGACTCCGCAAGCGCGCGCGCCCACCTTCGCCCCGGCTCTGGTGCCGTGTGACGCCGGCTTCGTCCCGACGTGCGAGCAAGCGAAAGGTTTTGGCCTCTGCGACACCACCAACGCAGCGTGCGACGAGGCCTGTGTCGAAGAAGTCAAGATGACCTGCCCTGTGACGTGCAGCCTCCCGGCGGAGGCGACGTCCGGGCACCTGGCCCCGGACGCCGCTCCCTCCGACTACGGCGAACGCTTGCCGCCGGCCGCCACGGAGGCCATCTGCAGCAGCTGTGCAGATCATCCAGACCTGCCCTGCTGCCACAACCATCCGCACGAGGGCAACGATCGCCGCCTGAATGGCCCTGCGACTGTATCCGACGCAGCCATGGACGAATGGATCCGTTTCCAGCAAGATTCGAAAATTGAACAGTACTGTGTAGGGTAGAGAGCCGTGGCCGTGACGCTCCCTTGCTGCCACTCATGCAATCGTTGGGTCGGTTCAGTTCACGAAGGTCCTTCAAACAATGCCATTCTTAGGCGGCTCCGGTGGTTTTCCTGTTACGAAAAACGGCGGGTTGCCCTCGGCGGGGCCCTTGACTTGCACGTCAACTTTGATGGTGGGGTTGAGAGCCAGGAAGGCCAGCCCCTCATGCAGCAGCACGCGCACGAACCATGGTCCAGTCTGGCCCGCGGAGTGGACGTCCGGATCGGTCTGGGCATGAAACTCAGCTGGTATCTTGGCCAGGCTCTCGAGGACTCCGGTGATCTGTGATCTGTAAGGGTCCGCCCGCAGGCGCATTTTGTATACCGAGGCGGTGCCCGGTGCCGAGCGTAGGCAGAGCCCACAGGTCGGACCTTGAGACAGCGTTGTAGATCCCTGGGCGAGGGTGGTGGTGTCCCCGTCGGGAGGGGGGGCTGTCGCAGTGGTGGTCTACCGTCACCCCGCCAGCGGCCCGGCGGGTTCGGCTTAGGCAATGGTTGGGTAGTAGGGCTAGAGGGTCGCTCTACACTTAGCCTCTGCAGCGAGCGAGCGCTCAACTTAGCCCCCGCACCGAGCCGGGCTCAGACTTAGACGCTGTATGGTCGGGTGCCATGAACTTAGACGACATAAGGCCAACTCCGGGCAAAACCCGGGTATACCTGAAAAGAATCCAGGTTTACCCGAAAATACCTGGACGCGTCCCGACCAACGTTTGCCGCGCGCGCACGACGCCATATCGCCTTCTCCCAGGGCCAGTGCGCTACTCACGGCGCGCAACGCCTGCTCAAGTACGCGCACCGTACCATGTGCTGCCGCTATGCGTGCCGGCGGCTGCGGCGAAGCGGCGGGCGCGGCATGCCGATGGCAGTGCGGACGATGCGGTTGCGATGTGTTCTGCTTCAAGATCGTGGCGGTGCTTGGCATGCACTTCTGCGATCCCAATCGGCTCATCGCAACGAAGCAGCGCAACAAGCTGGCTGCTGCCAACAAGGCCCTATGCTTCCTCACGCGCGGATCGTTCAAAGAGGACCAGCAGGGGGTCCGGTTTCGAGGGGCTACTGCGACCCCGAGGTGCCCCCGGACGCGCGGCGGGCGGCTGAGGCGGCGGGAGCCCAGGCCAAATATGAGGCCTACAAGGAGGGTGACACAGCTGGCTCTTGCCTTTCCAGGGGGGTTGCTCCGCCCGGTGCCGGTCCGGCGTAGATTTCGCCGAATTTTGGGCGCGTCGTGCCCTCACCACCAGAGCTTGTGGGGGGGGCGAGAGAGAGTGTGTGTCCCTCGAGACCTTCTAAAGGCATATTACTACTTGCCTGCCACCCCTGGCCCCGTCCCCGCGCCCAGAAGGGCGAGATTCCGGTCCCACTCCACCACCGCACGAAACGTGTTTCGGTCCGGGGTCCGGTTTCGACCGTCAGGGGCTACTGCGACCCCGAGGTGCCCCCGGGTCGCCCCCTAAGGCCTCCGTTAGTTGAGGAGCACTATTTGGGTGGGTCAGAGACCCTCATTTAGCCACCTCACAGGGTACCCTGAGGCTGTGGCCTCTGCACAAGATTTCGCACCATATGGTCACACGGATGTGGGGGGCGTAAGAAGAGTCTGCACTGTCCACGCGCAACTGGGGGAGAGCGGAGGGCGTGTTTGAGGGACACGTACTCGTAAAGTCTTGGGCGTGCGTGCGTGCCGGACTGATGCAACGAAGGCGTGTGAGCGTATCCGGCCTATCCCCCCTCCGACTCTTGGGCTCGATGCCTGGCGCATCCGACTCGACCGGGTGCGCCAGCGTCGAGCCCCGCAAGCCCTCGAGGCTGTTCGACAGCCACGGCCCCTATGCGGTCGCTCGTAATGTGGTCGTGCTGCTTGCCACGGGCGGAAACTTGTGGCTCTGCGTTTTTGCTCTGCGCAACAAACCGTGGTCCTGGTCGCGGATGCAGGAGCATCCGACCTCTGCCGCCATATCGACGGGCCCCGCCGAGCAGCACAACGCGACGCTGCTTGGGGGGCTCTGCACTGACGCGCCGCCGCTGCCATGCAATGAGACTGGCTGCCCACGCGGCGATCTAGTGCCATGCTTCGAGCTTCGGTCGTCTTGCCTTTCTTTGTTCGAGGAGGCACGTCTCCGCCGATGGCCCTCGCTGCCCTCCCCTCGGTGGCGCTGATCAAGACTGGCCCCTCCCTGCCGCAGGTCTGGCTGCACCCACCCGAGGAGCACCGCAGCAGCTTCGTGTGGGAGCAGTGCCGCCGCACCTGTCGCGCGTGCACAGGCAGGCAGGCCTTTCAGCTGCTGCAGGCGCGCGCCGAGCAGCAGGGCCGCGGCGGCCGCTTCTCGGCGCCCGGCCCGGACAACACGCTGACGCGGAAGAGCCGGAATGCGCGCGCGGCGCTGCTGCGCATGCGCTTCTTCCATGCACTGCACGCGCTGCACGCCGACAGGATGAGACCGAGCGACGTCCCGCGCGGGGTTAAGCACGACTCTGGCTGGCTCGTGCAGACACAGCTGGGAGACGGTGCGCTCGAGATTATTGCGCGTTCGCCGAAGCTGCTGCGAGCGCCAGAGAGGAGAGGAGATGTGGACGCGAGCTACAGCCGGGTGCTCGAGTACGAAGCCCTGTGGGAGGGAGAGGGGCTGAGCTGACCGCCGTGGGAGGTCGGAGCTCCAGCCACGGAGAGCTGCCATGTAACATTCTGACTTGCCGACAGACGCAGGGGTCATAGCTAGGCCAGGGCGTGCAGCGAGGGAGGCTTCTTGTGGTTGTGCGAGGGTGCAGGCCCAGGCTTGTGCGTGCGTGTTACGGTGGGTGCCTCTGTCAGGCAGCTCCGGGGTGGTGTGGAGGGTGACCGCTGGGCTGCCAGACCGGTCGCGCGGCGGATGTCGGGGTGTGACGTGTGTGCCGCGTTGTGACGGGAACGGGGGGCGCGCGGGCGGGGACCGCCGACCGGGGACGCGTGCGTTTGCTGTTTCGCCCCCTGCGCGGTCCGCGTCGGGATATACGACACACTCGAGTCTTCAGAGTACCACGAGCTACGAAAAGAAACAACAGCATCACACACACGCAAGAGCACGCGGGCGAGAACGACAGTGGCGATACGGCTTTATGAAGAGACGACATACTCAGAGATGGGCAGATGTGCACAGGATGAGTGATCGCAAAGCAAAGAGTCATCAGACGCAGAGCCTCCCTCTTCGGGAAGGGAGGCACACTCGGGCTGCAAGGATGCATAAACCCTTGACCAACTGTCCGTGAGCCCCACCCTCGCGCGGCCTCAGAGGTCCATGGTGTACGACTGGCGCGAGCGCGGCGTGAACTGCACCGGCGATGTGTCGCGCTCCTCCGACGAAGCAGACCTACACAGCAATCGCGTCACGCTAGTGTGGCGGCGCCCTCACGCCACCACCCCAAGCGAGGAGCGTAGACCAGCGCTGCGAGCCGTCGGCAGGGAGGGAGATGCGACCGAAGGAGGACCTCTGCGTCGCCTTGGCGCGGGCGGCGGGCGGCAGCAGCGAAGCGGTGGCGGGCGTGAGGAGGAGGGACGGCGTCATCTTCGCCGCCGGCTCGCCCGCCTACGCGCACGGCAGGGCGGGGGAGTGAGAGGAGGCGCCACGCACCGCAACGGCCACCAGCCCGCGGCGTTGCCTTGAGCTGCGCGATGCGCCGCTTGACGAGGCTCTGCTGCTCGGGGGAGAGGGAAGCGGGCAGGGTGAGGAGGTGCTCGAAGATGGCCCGCGCCTGAGGAGGGAAAATGCTGGCGCGTCGGGGGCGTGTCCTGAGCGGGACAGGAGGAACTCAAAGGCGGCGCGCGCCGCGTCGCCGATGCCAAGTTTGATGAGCATGTGCCCCACCTACGGCGGTCGCTTCACCGCCTCTTAGCGACCATGACCCGCCGCCGTAGCTGCTCGGTCGGCGAAACTCGCACCGATATGAGGAGCGACGCGGCGCCGCAGAGGCCAAAGGCGTGCAGGTAGCCGCGCGCCGCCAAATCGTGCTCGCCGTGCCGCGCTGCGGCGGCTGCTGCCTGCACGAGCTCGACCACCCGCGTGCGTCGCTCCTGGTCGAGCGCCGCCGCCGTCTCCGCAGGAGGCACGGACGTGAGCACCGGGACGAGGTCCGGCGCCGCCTCGGGCAAGCGGCGCAGCAGCTCGAGGGCGCGCGAGGTCTGGCGCGTCGCCTTCGGCGCGCCGCGGCGTGCCTGCTCCGCCACGGCGCGCTCCTCGAGCTCTCGCGCCAGCAAGGTCTCCACCTTGACGTCCGGGGCGGGGGGCTGGCCCGCCGTCTCGGGGGGCTGGCCCGCCGTCTCGGCCACCGACTCCTCGGCCACCGACTCCTCCGAGACGGCGCCGAGCCGCGCACCCGACTTGGAACGCGTCTTGGGCGGCGACGGCGGCGACGGCGCCTCTGCTTGCGCCGGCTCTGCTTGCGGCGCCTCGGGCGGCGGCGCGGGCGTCGGGGGCGGCGGCGAGCTCGGTAGCGGCGGCGCGCGCGGCTGCGTGCCCGCCGCGCTGTCGGGCGAAGTGTCGCATGAGGTTGGTGGAGCGGGCGTGGTGGCCGCCGAGGCGGGGCGCCGCGGCGGCGTGCGCGGCGGCGGCGGCTGCGCGCGCCGCAGCGGCGGTGAGCCCGGCGACTTAGGGGCGGCGGCCTGCTGGCCTCGGATGGCGGGGTGGAATGCGATCGAGTACTTGCGCTCGAGAGGCTCGACGCGGTGCACCTGGTGGCAGTGGCGAGGCGAGGATGGCTTCTCCACACCCTAGCATGGGTTCAGAGTAGGCCATCCCGCGCATCTCTGCATCTGGTGGCAATGCACACTACGCTGTCGAGGACCCGTTACGGCTAGTCTCGCTCTCGGCGGCTCTCGGCGGCTCTCGCCGTCGCGGGTCCGCGCGACAAGTCCGGGTGGCGCGAGGCAAAGGCGGCGTAGGTGCCGGTGACGCCGAGGTCGAGGCAGCAGTGCAGCCACGCCGAGGTCGGCTCGGAACGCGGCGCACGCGCCTCGGCGGCGCTCTTTGGCAGAGGCGGCGCGTGCATCTGGAGGTGGTGGTCGCCAACCTACACCGCAATCGTGTCACGCTCACAGCTCCGCCTCGTGCGCTCCTGTACGGCGGTGGCGGGCTCTCACCTCATCGAGGGGTAGCGCCACCCAGCTGAGCACCTGCTCATACCCGACGAGGCGTGAAGACTACGCCACTCTCTCGCCGCGGCGCTTTGTCACCGCAGAGGCAAGGCGCCTCGTCCTCACCCCCGCCCGTGGCGCGCACGAGCTTGATGAGCAGCATCGCACCCTCCTCCCCCTGCAGGTACGCCGCAGACCACGTGCGGAACCACCTGCTCACCGCACCAGCCGTGAAGAGACGCCGTCCAGTGGTTGCGCCGCACGCCACAGGCAGCCGACTTCACCATAGGCAGCCGACAGCAGACGACGAGAGCGGCGACGCGCACTGCTGCTCGCCGACCAGCGTCGCCAACCGATTCCGCCGCATCAGACCGCCGCCGCCGCCGCCGCCGCCTGCGCCAGCCGCCTCAGTGGCCTGGAACGCAGCCGCGCGCGAGGCGAGGCCGGCGCCGCCTCGAGGACCAGCAGCGTCGCTGGACGGCTCGTGCACGACCGAGATGGCGAGGCGGGCGCTGGCGGGCTCGGCGGCGCAGTCGAGGCGCGAGAGCGACAGCAGCACGAGCGCGCGGTTCTGCGCCGACGTGGTGGGCGGCGGGGGTGGCTGCATGTGATGCGCCGGCTCGACGCCGTTCGCATCGCGCCACGCGCCCAGCGCGGCGTGCGTGAGCGGCGCGGTGTCTGCGCCGTCCAACCACCCGTGCAAGAGGGTCGAGAGGTGGTCGTCGATGGAGGCGGGGCCGACGAGCGGCGCGCCCTGCCGCGCCATTGTGACGACCGCCTCCGCCAGCAGGCCGTCGAGCCCCTCTCCGTCGGCCAGACGCACCTGTTCACGGCTACACACTGTGAAGACGCGCCGTCAAGCACGCCCCTTACCGTCGACGAAACGCGCACGGCAAGCGCAAAGGGCGACGGGACGTCCGAAACCTCCTCGTCCGCCTACGGGGAGGCTCAACCACAGTTCAGGCGAGGGGCCAGCGAGAGGTCCGCGATCAGCCCCCCCCCTCCGCCTCGTCGGCGGGTGGGGCCGCCGCCTCCTCGGCGAAAGCGGCGCGCGACTTCGACTTGCCCTTGCCCAGCCGCGGGGAGGAGAAGCGCTTGTAGAGCGAGGCAAGCAGCTCGTCGGTCGGCGCGCCCGCCGGCTGCGGCAGCAGCGTCGCGCCGCAGTCCACGAGCCACGCAACCAGCCGCTGCCTCTCGTCCGCCTCGCCGGGCTCGATGCCGCGCAACGCCGCGTGCAGCATCGTCTCGCCTGCTCACAGCTGCAAGCGTGTCAAGGGGCCTGCAAGCGCGCCTCCCACTCCCGCACCGCCGCCCGCACCGCGGCTGTCGCGATGGTTGATCACCGCCCACCGCTCCCAGAGGTCGATCTGCTCCGACGCCGCCTCGCGGCCAGCCACGACAGAGGCGAGGTGCAGCCCGCGCGCGTGCAGGTAGCGCGGGTTGTGGAAAGCGGCCATCCACGCGCGCGCCTCGGCTGCGTTCGCCATCTGCAGCTCGAGCACGTCCTCGTTGCCAGACTGCTCGAAGACGGCGGCAACCTGCTTCATCTGACGGCGGCCCGGCCGCTGCAGCATCACAACCTCGAGCACGTCCTTCTTCCCCCTCTCCTGTGGGCAGCCGCACACTCGGGTGAGGAGGCCCGCACGGCAGGGCGCCCTCGCCCTACCGCAGCGCACCTCCGCGCGGCGGTAGAGCAGCTTGTCGCACGGCAGCGAGAGGAGCGGCGGGCCGGCGATGCTGTTGGCCGCGTCCACCGGCAGCACCTGCGGCGTTCAGACCGAGGTGAGCTCTCTGCACGCTGGAGTGGGGCGGGTGGGCTACCCCCCGCATCTCCACATCCTAAGATAGGCGCGAGCCCGACGGCATTAAACGCGCACGCCCCGGTGCGCTCGGGTGGTATGCTGTGTGTGCGTGTGTGTGTGTGTCCCCGGGGTGTGCGCGTGTGCGCGTGTGTGTGTGCCTGCAGCGTCGACTGCCGCAGCACCACCAGCACCTTCTTCCGCCCGCTGCTGCCCGGCAACACTGCCGGCAGCACTGCGCGCCGCAGTTCCGTCGAGTCCTCCTCCGCCGCCGCGTCGGCGCCGCCCTCCTCCTGGTAGCCTGCGGGCCGGACTGACAGGAGCCGCGACGCCCATTGCAGGAATGCGAGCCGGCCTGTTCACACAGCCAACACGTGTGGAGAGGCGGTGTCCACAGCGACGCGCTGCGAGCAGAGAGCGGGGAGCGGGCCGGCGCGGGCGGCATAGTGCAGCGGCGTCCGCCCCTCGACGTCGCGCAAGTGCGCGCAGTAGGCGAGCGCCGCGCGCAGCTCCGTGACGGGGTCGTCGCTCCGTGACGGGGCGCCGCTGCCGGTGGCGGAGCGCCACATGTGGACAAAGAGGGCGGGCGCAACGCGGGTCGCGCCGCCCGCGGCGGCGGCGTGCGCGAGCGAGGCGCGCTGGCCTGGCACGTTCTGCCGCACGAGCAGCAGCGCGGCGTGCGACTTGAGCAGCGGCATCAGCGCCTCCTCGTCGTCCTCGTACGCCGCCGTGAAGACGTCGTCGCACGCCGCGCCGAAGACGGACCCGCTCCACAGCCTCTCGCGCAGCGAGCGGTACAGCGCCTGCAGATGCGAGACGGCGAGGCGGCGCTGCTTGGCCTCCTCCCGCGCCTTGTGGCCGCGCCGCACCCGCTGCAGCGCTGCGATCGACTCGCGCCGCTGCGTCGCCTCGCGCGCCGCCGAGCGGCGCCTGGTCACCGCCTGCAGCTTGCGCCGCGCGACGCCCTGCCGCATCAGCTTGATCGCCGCGACGAGGAGGACGCCCCGCCGCAGCGCGCGCCTAATCTCGGGAGGTGCGCGGGTGATCTCGGCTGACCTCGCCACACGCAGGACAAAGCCTCTCGCCGCAGCGCGCCGCAACACGCGCAGCGGCTGCGAGCGCTGCGCCTCCTCCCGCTTCCTCCGCGCGCGCAGCCGGCCGCAGAAGCCGAGCGCGTACGGCGCCAGCGCTGCCCTCGCTTGCCGCCGCTCCGCGAGCCACGCCTCCTTGCGCGCCGCGACTGTCTTGCTGATGACGGTGCCGTGCGCCACCATGACCAGCGCGCCGTGCCGCCGCGCCGCCGCGCGCCGGCGCGCCCGCGCCTCCGCTCGCGCGGCCTGCCCTCGGCCCGCCGCCTGCAGCACCGCGCTCGCGGCGGCGCGCTTCGCGCGGGCCGCCTCGGCCGCCGCTCGCACCGCGAGGAGCTCCTCCTGCCGCGTCGCAAAGGCGGCGCGCGCGACGCGGCCGCGCGCGAGCTTCTGAAACCAGAGGACGGCCTTCATGCGGCTGGAGACGGCGTTGTTGAGCATCGCCTCAACGCCGTTGCGCAGGAAGACGAGTGTCTTGCCAAACTGGTAGTGGCGGTACTCGTGCAGGTTGGCCTGCGGCGGGCATCTCCGGCGCTGCCACATGGACATGTCGGCTGCGCGCCCCGGCGGCGTCTCGACCGCGTCTCGGCATCTCGGCCGCATCTCGGCATCTCGCCGGCCGCGTCTCGGCATCTCGTATCACCTGGCGCAGGATGAGCAAGCAGTCGCCGCGGCCGAGCGCCGACTGCGCCTCGAGCTCGGCCTGCGCCTGTGGGACTTGGGCGTGGACGTGTCATGGACGTGTCCTGGCGCAGACTGTGCACGCCGAGCCCGTCCCGCGCCTGGTTGGCCTCGCTCTTGGCGGCGGCGCCGCCGATGCCGATCTTGGCGGCGAGTGCCTTTGCGGCGCCCGAGCCGCGCCGCAGCGACATCGTCCTCCCGTCGAGCGAGGACCGCATCTTGGACTTTGCGCGGTCGTTCTTGGTCAGCTCGATCGACTCCTCCTCCTTCTTCTTGCGCGCCGCCTCGAGCCCGAGCAGGAGCGCACCGAACTTTGTCTCGAACTCGGCAAAGGGCATCCGGTTGGGGAAGCCGGAGCGGCGGATCCGGACCATCTCGAGGACGCCAGAGTACTGCAGCTGGCGCAGCACGCGCGCCTGCTCGAAGCCGAACGCGGCCATCCCGTCGTTCGGCTTGACGCACCGGATGTAGTGCAACGTCGTCACCTGATGGCGACGCGCAGCGGACGCGTCAGAGGCGCGTCCTCGTCCCGGCGCCGTCGCGACGCAGCGTCGGCACTTGAAGCGTCGCCATGAGGCCCTCGGTCGCCTTGCCTCCCGAGCCCGACACCTGGCCGATCCCCGCGCGCAGCCGCTCCGAGAGGGTCGTCATCTTCCCGCCTCCCTTGCGCCCGCCGCGCGCCGTCATCATCGGTGCGCCGCCGCCGCCGCCGCCGCCGTTGCCGCGCTCCGTCAGCGGGCCCATCGGCGGCTGGCGGCCGCCGCGACCCGCTCCCCCGACCCCGCGCGCCGTCGCCTGCGCCTCTTCAATCTGCGAGGCGCGGGCGTTGGCGAGACTCAGGTTCAGCTTGAAGGCGGAGACGCCTCCTCCGCCGCCGGCGGGTCCGGCGCCGCTCGGGGCGGAGTCTCGTACCGAGGAGGCGGAGGTGGTGGCGGAGGCGCGTGGGTCTGCGGCGGAGAGTCGGCCGGCGTCGGCTGGCGTGCCGCCGTTGAGGATGGTGATGACCGGATCGAGGCCGACACAGGTTGCGAAGAGCGCCGTCACATCGGGCGGCAGCTGGTCCGAGTTCTTCAGGACGAAGCCGTCGGTGGTGTAGAAGACCTTGCCCGCGTAGTGGGAGATGGAGAAGACGCCGCGCTGCTCCTGCTGGCAGATGCCGCGCACGGTGTGCTTCTGCCCGATCTCCTGGAAGAACTCCTCGTCGGAGCCGCGCTCGCCCAGCCGGCACTGATCGTCGAGTCCCTGCGGCGGCGTGGAGAGGGGGGGGGGGCTAAGGCATCCCAACCTCCAATCTCGGCCAATCCCCGCAACAAGCGCATCATTCTCGCCGGGCCCCTCCGTCTGAACCTCGGCCATCTCTCGGCCAATCCCGGCCGGAGCCTGCAGCATGCGCGTCATGAGGCGCAGCCGCTCCGCCGACGACTGCAGCGAGCCGTCCTCCACTTCGACCCCCTCGGCGGCGAAGAGGCGCCTACGTCTCGGCCAGACCTCCGTCGCCTCTCGACCGCATCTCGAACCCCCCCCGGCGGCGACGAGGCCTCTCGGCCGCAAAGACCGACTCGTTGAACTGCTCCTGCAGCATCTCGTTGACAAAGTTGATGCAGAGCTGCTCAAACGAGTTTGTCTGCAGCTGCTCGAAGCCGAAAATGTCGAGGATGCCTGTAGCGACGCGCGGCACGGCTCACTCGGACCGTGTCACCCTCGCGCGGCGCCGAGCCGTCTTGCGGCTGCCGATTGAGCTGGAGCGCGGGTTGGCGGAGCGCGAGACGGCGTTGATCCGGCCGACCACCCAGTCGAAGAGGGCCGCGAAGATGGACTTGCAGAGCGCGTCGCGGCAGATCTGCGCCGCCTTGATCGAGTAGCGCTGCGTGATGTCCTCGCCCGCCACGTTGATCTTCTTCTGCAGCAGCGCCACGCGGAGCGAACCCTCCTCGCAGCCAAGCGCCGCCGCGGCGCACGCCAGCGCGGCGTCGTCCGCCACCTGCGCATAGTCGTCTGCATATACATATTCACACTGCACAGTGTGAATATATATATTCACACACCTGCGCATAGTCGTCTGCGCCGGCGGCGTCCGACGCGAGCGAGAAAGCCAAGTTGCCGAGCAGCAGCACGGCGGAAAGGATGCGCCAGACGGCCGCCTGTGGGGCGCGGCAGGGACGTGTCGTGGACGCGTCCTCGACAGCAGAAGGGATGCGCCTGGACGCCGCCTGCTCTGGCGGGCCGATCCCGAAGGCGGGCAGCGCGCGGCGGACGACGGCGAACTCCTTTGCGTCGCTCACGCCGGCCAGCCGGGCCACCTGGAGGGCGGTGCGGTGCAGGTCTCGGGAGGCCTCGGAGGGTGTGTTTGGTGGCCAGGGGAGGGCGAGGGGGCGTGAGGCGGCGAGGGGCGTGAGCGGCGAGGGGGCGATGTCGTGGCGAAATGGTGGTGGCGAAAAGGCGGCGAGGTGGCGGCGAGGCGGCGGCCGCGAGCCTGCCCGTCGACGTTGAGCACGTCGAGGCTTTCCGCGGGGGGCAAGCTCCACGCGGAGCGGATCCCTGTTCACAGCTGGGCGCGTGAGCAGCGAGCCCGGCGGGCAGGCTCCTCTGCCCGGAGAGGGCGCCGCTGTCGGTGAGCAGCTGGTAGAAGATGTGGTAATTCCGCTCGCCGGCAGAGATGTCGACGACGCGCGAGCGCTCGAGCAGGTATGTCTCGGTGGAGGCGCCTGCGCAACACGGCACGGACATGTCGTGGACGTGTCCTGGACAGGTGCTTGAGCAAGTGCGTCTTTGCGGCGCCTGCGATGCAGCCGTGCTCGTCGTACTGCACGGCGACGTACTTGCCGAAGCGCGACGAGTTGTCGTTCCGGATCGTCTTCGCGTTCCCGAACGCCTCGAGGATCGGAGACGCGTCGCGCAGCAGCAGCTCCACCGACACGACCGCCGGCTGCTCGGCGACGCCGA